AGCAGATATTAATAAATTTGTTCGTGTAGTGATGTGAACTTCAATTTCTCAGTTCATTAATTTCAACGATATTAATTTATTTCAGATTCGCTGTTGCAGCTTTACGGTTTGGAAGAGCTGGGTATGTACACATTCCATACGTCACACAACCTCCTACGGCAGCCACCAGGATTGCTTCAAGTGCTCAGGTGCCCCAGATGCTGTAGGCAGCTGTGTGAGCTTATGCCAAGGGAATTATGTATGGGACTGTCTCCTCTAAAACATGTCAAATGGTGCTCTTGAAACAGGTTAGTTTCCAATTATTCTACTTTCTTCCCCAATAAGATGTATTGCATACTCATTGAGATCAGCCCTGAGGACTTGGGGTGTTAGTCAATGAGATGCTCCCCGTGACCCAGGTTCAGTGTGCGCTTGAGCCTGGAACCTGCCATGTGCTGGGCTGCACCCCCAGATTGTGAGCAGGAGGTTGAGGGAGGGGATCCTGCCCCTCTGCCATGCTCTGGGGACCCCCCCCCTTCCCCCCTGCAGTCCTGATCCAGCTCTGGGGCAACAGCACAAGAGGAACATGGAGCTATCTAGTGGAAGGTGCTCCTGCCTGTGGCAGGGCATTGGAATTGGATGAGCTTTGAAGTCCGTTCCAATATAAACCAGTCTGGGATTCTGTGATTTTGTGAAATATGTCAAAATTGAAATGGAAGTTACAATTTTGCATAGTTTATAATGCTGCATGTTTTAAACCTAAATAGTGATAGAAGTTACAAAACTTAACTGGAGAACAGTGCATATATTAGCAGAGAACCTTTCAATCCAAAACATTTTGTTTCCTTATCATATTTCCCCTGCATCTCCTCCACTCCACGCTACATTAGCCTGGGCCAGCAGATGACCTAGCTCTGTGGTTAGACTTGCTGAACCAAGTGCTCTCTTGGTTGACTCCTGTGAGTTTACACCACATCGGGCATCCCCAGACAGGTTGAGTTACATGGGGTGCACCTGATCGAAGGGCCATGGAAGATCATTTTGAGGTGCCGTTATGCTGCAATACAACCATCAGCTGCCCTGGATGTCAAGATCACCACAAGTCAACCCAAATACAGGGTTATCTTTTCTGGGTTATGTTCAGCAGGGATCGGGCATTGCATTCTATGTCAAGGTGAGACATGAGGTCCATTTGTCAGAGCCGGCTCAAGACATGTTCTGCCAGCAAAGTGCTAAAGTCCAGGTCTGATCCAGACATTTGCTTCTTCAAAGAGCAACTTAGCAGGAAAACAACCCAGATTTTTCTTCCAGAGGCTGTATAAATACCTTCATAAATAGCACATCATTACTTGGTACTGAGACCCTGCACATCTTAATCACACATTTATCTTAATCTCATGTTTTGCTTCTGCTGTGTGGATATTTATATTGTCTGCAGCTTGCTTTTATGGGTGGGGGGTGGGAAAGTCTGAATTCTTTAATTTAAGCAATTTAGTCATTTTTTGTTGAATTCTATCTGTGGCACAATGGGAGGGGGGTGCAAAACTGGTGCTCCAAACATCTCTTTCACTATATATTTTAGCAGCAACATTTGACAGCTGTGAATTCCTGCTGTGCAAACTGATACCAAATGCCTTCTAAAGAAAAATGGGGTGGCTAGTTTTTTAATAATAATTGTAATAGTTTCATCCAAGGGAAGAGCAGAAAATTAAGCAGGATGCAATTTTAAAGGAATATCGAGAACCTTTTGCTCTGTATTAGAGTCATAAAGCTTAACCAGAGAGCAATATCTTTCACAATCTATAGAAAGTAAATTACAATTGAAAACCAAGTTTGAGCACACCTTGTAGTTGCAACTTTGCAGCAAGCCAGCACTTTCTCACTAAAAACATTTTTTTATACTTCAAGTGTCCATTGTTTTAAACAGGAAAAAGCCCTTTGCTCTAAGGAACCCGTACCCTAGCATCCTGCTCTTAAACAAAAATGGAAGCACTTCACTTTGTGGTCATAGACTATGAAATGGAAGTCATACAGAGTTAAAAAGAACGTGGCTTTTTGGATAAGGCCCAAAGGCCTCCTTTTGTAGACATACAGGAGGACAAAATGGGATAGGGATTGGAGTAACCTGCTCTAGTAGAAGGTGTCCCTTCCTGTGTCAGGGGGGTGGAACTGGATGAGATTTAAGGTCCCTTCCAACCCAAACCATTCTATGATTCTATGACAGAGTGAGGTATCTCCTCTGCGAGATAAAGCTTCCAAGTTTTGATCCTAATGAGGTTATCAGTTGGCTGAGGATGGATGCGCAGCTGGTGGGTGGCACACAGGCACATCAAGAAAGACCATGTTAGCTCTGGCTGGCATTGCCTGCACCCTGACCTGTCTGAGATTTCTCTTTTATTCTTTTTCTTCATAACTCCTGTCTTGGATCTCTTTAGAACAAAAGTGAATCCCCCTGTTGGCTATAGACCTCTCTATGCTCATACTTTGGTAGTCCTAAAATGCAGAATGGCTTTTTGAGGACATGCTTACTAGCAGCAAGATCTTGCTTCTGGAGTGGTGGGCTTAGGTGGTCCTGATGCTTAGGGTGATGTTATGACAAGCCATAAGTCCTATCACCTCAATCTCTTTTTTAAACTATGTTAGGAGAAGAAACAGTCCAACTGAGGTCCAGATGGACTTTTGTAGTTCTGCTCCTGCTTTCTCTCTATTTTAGAAGTACCAAGAACAGCATTTTTCCAAATACAGACAAATCCTACCATGGTTTCCCCAGCAAGGATCAGTGTGATTAACCCCTGTAAAAAGACTACTTGTGTCTGCAGAGCTGTCACATGTTGGGTTTGGCCATGCTTTCATCTGACTGACTGCACAGTGATAACAAACCTTCATAGGAAAAACGGGGCTGCCCAGCCCCATCATGTTGGTATGTGATGCCTTGTCATAGCAGGGTCCACCAGCTTCCCTGAAAAACGCCTATCTAGTTGTTATCTCAGAACAGAGCGTATGTGGGGAAAGGTAACACAACCAGCAATGAGAGGGAGGATATTCTGTGCTGTGGTTAAAAAAGCATGTCATCCTTTCCTATCCAGATTCATAAACTGCAGGATTTACCTTAGGTACAACCACAGTGACCACCAGCTCTTCCTTCTGTCTTAGCTTGTCTGAATGTATGTGACTATTCCTAACAGTGCAAGCTCCTCAGCTGTCACTCAGCTCCATCACATCCTGCTGTATAATGAGTTTGCACACTTGAAGATCACTGAAAAACTTTGGCTGCTTTGGACTGCAGCTCTTGAATTCCAGATTTTAATTTAAGGTAGAAAATGGGCTGAGCAAAAAACTCTCAAGCTGCTTGTACAGCTCAGAAAGCAAGTAATTAAACTTTAAAAAGGGGTCAGTGTTAAAAAATGACTAAGAAAATAGGAAAAAGGAAGCAGAAACTCCTAAATAACTGTACGGGTGAAACACAGCATAAACAACAGTGATGAGACATTGGCACAGGGTGCCCAGAGAAGCTGTGGCTGCCCCATCCCTGGCAGTGCTCAAGGCCAGGTTGGACACAGGGGCTTGGAGCAAGCTGCTCTAGTGGAAGGGGTCCCTGCCTGTGGCAGGGGTTGGAACTGAATGAGCTTTGGGGTCCCTTCAACCCAGTTCTTGTCTGTGATTCTATGAAATTCATCCCTGTCTTGCCACTCAGTTCTGGCTGTATTTCAGTTCCAGGCATTGGTTGAGATAGGTGAGGACAAGCTGACGGAAACATTGTCAACCTGAAGCCTTTCATGGGTTTGGTCTGAATTAATTCAATGGCTCTAGCTGGATATAATGATGGTGGCTGTCTGCTATGATGCTAAAGGAACTCACCGCAGGTATGTCAGATGTGGTTTGATTTTCTCCTCAGCCCAAGGGAACCTGCACCCCCATATTTTACCCTTTGCCAAAGTACCCTCTCACAATGTGGAGCATCATCTCATGATGTGCTGCGCTACTTTGCATGAATAATTCAACTTTGTGTCACAACCCTGGCACTCAGTGCTTTAACTACCAGACTAGAAAGATGTTCTTGCTATTTCTCTGGGTCATTTTGTTCAATACAGAATGATTTGGTTTAGTTCCTTTAGATAGGTGAGGAAAACATAACAATTTATATTTATCTATTAATGTTTAACACTTCTATTTATTTTCAGTTTGGCTGCTGAACCGAAACCCACCACTTTTGCACATCCCTACATCTGGATGCATGTGTTTCAGAAGGTCTGAGTGTTTGCAGGGTACAGACAGCCTGGTGAGGGAGTAGTGCAGGTCCCAGGGGCATCTAACCTGGAGCTATAGCAGCACCCACGGGATGCTAGACTTCGTTAGGGATGACAAATGGATTACAGCATCTTAAAATCAGAGTTGAAGGGACCATTAGACCTTCACTGGGCTGTCTGAGCATGTAAAAAGCTTAGTCCAAAGCTGGGCTGGTCCTCAGCCTAACAGCTAACTTCACGACCTATTTAGGAAAATCAGCATTAGTTGATTCAAAGTCGTCTACTGGGCATTTGTACAAAAAGCATTTTATCCCTGAGGGTGGAGATGGATGGTTACTGAGGCCCTGGGGAAGTGCCAAGGGAGATTGGGTGCTCAGTGCAAGCATTTGGCCTGCCCAGTTCTTCCGAAAACCCCACTTTGCAGCAATCCAGACCTTTTAAGCACCTGAAAGCTTGACTATGTGATGGGAAGCCCTTTCTTTACATACTGAAATTACAGAAATTCAGATCATTTTCACTTAGATCTTGAAACAGTCTTATTTTTCAGAGTAAATCAATATCAACAGGTTAGTGAGGATATTAAAATATATAAATATATAAAAATTCCTGCTACAGAATAGCTGCCTCAGATTTAAGCCATGTGTTTCGATTTTTATTGTTAAGAGTTAATATTACTTTATTTACTTTAAATTTTGTATTTTATTTCAGTATTTAATTTTTATACTAATGTCTTTTTATTAAAAGAAGAAAATAAAACATTGCATATTTTTATAAATTTATAATCTTTTCTAAGAGTATTGCTTATTCCTTTTCTAGGTATAAGCAATAGTTTAGTTTTCTGCTTAAAGTAACATAGTAAAGCCTTCACTAAAGGTCTATGCAATGACAAAAAATGTTCATCTAATTATTCTTTTCTTTAACTTCCCTCTTACTGTAAGATTTCTGTAGCTGGATGCTCTGCCCCTCACTGACCTGAGTGCACAATAAGCTCTCAGGTGCTTCTTTGGGCCATGGACTTAATAACAAGATACAGCTTTTGAGATGCTGGTCTCAAATGGCCTGGATTTTGGGTGGACAAGCAATTCTGTGGGATCACATCTCTCCAAAGTGCCTTAAATTGGATACCACAAAATGCAGATGTCCAGAATTAGTTTAGCAAATCAAGATATCCGTCTTTATCTGTTTGCCTGTGAGTGCTCATGGTATTAGAGATATTGTGGTAATACAAAGAATAAATGACACTGAGCTACCTTACATCTTAACTAAGAAAGTCAAGAGGAGGGACTTGACTCCAGGGTAAGAGTGTCCACAACCCTTTCTGGTATCAATGGGATTTGAAGTGCTTCAGTTTACTGCCCTGTGCACCGAGGCTGAAGATTTGTAAAACAGAGGCAAACAAACCTTTTCCAGGGCTCTAATGCATCTGACAGCATTATCTTCTAAATGTTAAAATATGCCATAAAAAGGAAGGCTTCTTTGTTCATATTTTTATTCTTCCACCAAACGTATACTGTATCGCACTTCCTCCTGCCCCACTCCCAGCAGGTGACCACGGGAATTCTGCAACTGATTTACAAATGGTTCATTACACTACCCACACCAAATCACACCGAGTAAAAAACGCAGAAGCTTAAAATTGCCTGCCTTAATTAAAATATTTAGTTGCTCATTTAGGGGAGTAACCCCTCAAACACCACAATAAGAATGAGTTGGGACCAACAGAGCATGCAAACTCACTGCACAAGGGGCTGGCTAGTCCAAGGGAAGGTTAGTTCACCAAGTAAGAGCTTAACCTGATTTACAGTTCACCAAGTAAGAGCTTAACCTGATTCGTACTAATTTGACATATATTAAAGCAACTGTTGCATCCAATATGAAATGAGGAAATCACATCACGGCACACTGGAATGCTGCTGGTTTTAAGCATCCATAGAAATGTGTTCTGATAACATACATGAAACTTCTAAGGAGATACAAACTTACTTTAAAATTTAAGGCACAAATTCCTAAGGGAAAATGCCACAAAATCAACCAGTGTTTCTTCTAATGTAAGTATTAAAAACGAACTAAGATTTGCTTAAAATCTCAGTATACCATTCCCACTACCCTACTTCTTCTCCTGCTTTTGCATCACTACCAGAGCACCAGAAACCTAAAGAACCAAAAATAGCCAGGTACCTTTCTCCAAAATAAACTGATCAAGGCTCGAGTGTATGCACCAAAAAAAGCAATACACAGGAAATTGAGAGAGATCCAGCTCACCTTGAAGTCCATTTCCATTTGCACTGGTGCAAGATGGTGGAGGAGAGGCTTGGGGCCTGACAACGGGAGCAAAGGCGCTCTTTTGTTTCACTGCAGAGATGACATTGGCAGGTGAGAATGAGAAAATGCCGTGTGTACTGCTACAGTTTGAAGGGAGGGTGACCGAAGAGGCTGCCATGGTAGGGCTTGACGGCACTACTGCAATAAAGCAAAAATAATCAGGACTCAGATTGAGGTTTTCACGGCAAACACGGAAAAAGAGAGTGATAGGGCCTTGCCTCTTAAAATATATATAGGTATATATATATTATAAAAAAATATATATAAAAGAAAAAAAATGAAATGCCTTGGCTTGGCCACTCTCTGGATAACAGGCAAACTCTTTTGTGTTGGACTTTTCTTACAAATTGTGCAGTCCAATTTTGTCTTTTTTTCTCTATCTGAGATTGTATTATGGCACAAACAGATCAATTTATTATAGTCATTTTTACGTCCAGCCTCCAGAGTCACCCCTCCTTTTATCCAGTAGCTCACAATAGAGGAAATCAAAACAATGCAAGTATTTGATTTTTGTAGTAAATATGAATCTATATGATGATGTGTTACCAAAAATAGACACTTACTGCCATAAGGAGAGTTAGCTGAGGAGCCATTAAGAAATCCAGGGGAACCTGGTACACCTAGATTGGGCATGCCGGCATTGCCATATCCATTCATGCTATTGCTGACTGTGTTGTAATTGGACTGCTGAGGAGTACTGCTGGGAACATATCCTCGCGGGGAAACACTGCTTGTGTTGCGACTGTAACCTACTGTGTTAGAAACCCCCCCACCCCAAAAAGATCATGTTATTTTATAATATAGACTTAGGGCTGGGGGGTTTCCTCATGCAGCATATATTACACAGTTTTAATTGATTGCACAGCTTTGCTCTAAGTTGTCTCTTACTGCCCTATCAACTCTTGCAGTTTGAGATAACCTTATCACGCCAACCCTACTTAAATCATCTGCGAGCACTCTATGTTGTCTCTCCTCTTAGCACAGACAGCCAACAAAAGCTCTCTTCGATCCAGCTGTGTCAGGTGCCTTCACGTTTGTCTTTAGGAGCAATTATCAACAGGCTCAAGTCCTGCTTTGTACCAACACACTGAATGAACTTTCAGCCTCTCCAGGCCTTCAAATGCCAGAGCTGACAAGAAAAACTTTTTTTGTTGCATTGATTTACTTTAAAAGGCTGTTTTGGGGTCTTCATTTTATGATTGATATTTTTATACTAACAGCAGGCTCGTACTTGCGTAAGGTGTAGCCATCAGTGAAAACTAATTCAAGATCAAGTTCAGAATTTTATAAGGCTTATTAGCTTGGAAATGCATTAAAAGACAATCTTTTTAGAAGAGGAAACATAGCAGAATCAGGATTTTAAACAACAATTTGTTCCTATCTGAGCAATCAATTTGATAATTATGTTGCAAGCAAAAAAAAATACGGGTTTGAGCAGAGCTAATAATCCTGTTTCCCTCCTTTCATTAGTATCAAAATTAATTTTAAATGCAATATGCCACATGCATTTTCAATTACAACAGGTAAATTAAATCAACTATTACTTTTATTAGTAACATATATGTCACACGTGCCTATAAACAAAGTATTCTAAAATCACAGACATCAAATTAGATTTATCTGTGTAAATATTCCAAAAGCAGGTGGAGATACCGAGACATAATTGTTCTCTAAAATAACACACACTTTGCATATTTACTGTGAATAATAAAGAGCTTTCTACACTGTTTGTTGTTTTTTTTTTCCGCTGGAGATGCTTTATGATAACAGTAAACGAAAGAACAGGAAGAATTAGATATTACGAGAAAGTTAAAGGCGGCATTTCATTACACAACTAGACATACGACTACAGGGAGAAAAAGAGGTAGAGCGCAGCAGTGACACCAGCTCGGATTAATAGGGACTGGCCAAAAGCAGGCAAGAACATGATTAACTCTTGAAATGCCACCTACCTTGGTCGTTGGCTTGCGAGGTTTCGGACACATTCACTGCGAGCTGGCTGCTGAAGGAGTTGACTCCCATCATGCCGGTGTGAGCGGGAGTGTTGGCTAGAGTGGGGATCTGGTTGTGGTTGCGTGGCACGCTGTATAACGCCTCAGCAATGTCAGCTGCTCGTTTCAGGATGATTTCCTGCAAGGATAAAAAAACAGAGGATAATTTGCACAAATATTCCAATATTTGGGATATTGCAATATGGCAGTAACGTTAACGATCCACAGATTGATGGGAAATTATAGGGAGGGTGGGGGTTTTGCTGCTTGTTGCAGCTACACCTTCTGTTCTCCTTCTTACGTACCGGAGCACTTTGCAGTTTCATGTCAACACGGTAAGTATAAAGAAATAAAGAAATTAACATAAGATTACAGTTTAGTGCTGCAAGTCATGTGAAAACAGTAACACACACTTCATTCATCCAGGGCAGTAGATGTATTTTCAGCAGTTTGCAAAACACAGTATGTTTTATCCGCTCTGTTTAGCAGATTTCTTTAGGACTTCCCATTAGTCACTGTATATCTTGGCCGGAGTTCAAGGTTATTCTCTTGCTTTAATGATTGCTTATGCTTTTGGCACCTTGCACTTAATTGTCATTTCTGATAGGCAAACTAGCGGTGAGAAGAGAATGGGAAGATGAAGCGTTTCCCTCAGAGCATTGCATCACATCAGAGTGCCCTCAAGGTGGCTGGCAAAGCCAGGCTGTGTCCAAAAAGAACAACATGCTGGGGCTCTGCCAGCCTTGCAAAGAGCAGGTATTGATTTACATCCAGAGGCGTGGAGACAAAGACCGTGCTGGTGACCTACCTGGTTGTTGTGGGGCATCCCGTATAGGGCTTCAACAAGGTCTGCTGCTCTCTTAAGTAATACTTCCTAGAGAAAAGCAAACAACCTGCGTTATGTTTCACTAAATGCAGCCACCATTCCAAGCAGTAAGTGCAATAACATTGGTGGCTTCTATAATTATGAGGGACCCGAGAAAGTGGTAAAATATAGCTCATGCTATATTTAGTGGATGTATTACAAAGATAGGAAGGTATTTTGTTTTGGAGGGAAATACTGTTTGAAGTCAAAGTTAGATACGAGCCTAAAAATAATATTGGGTTTTACATCCAGCTGTTCAATTATGATTGACTAGAAAAGGTGTTTGCTGCTGTAGCATGTAGCTCTCGTGCTGAATTAGTGAAATCAGTGCTTGAGGTTTAATGATGTAGTCTTATGGGTATTAAACAAACAAACACATGGTAGAGATATGAAAGGCACAGGCATCACATTTGGCTGTTAATTCCTAGCACTTTAGTGGTGAAGAACAATAAGTAATTTTCCATATCTTAATTAAACTGGCAGAGTCCTTAAAGACAACATCTCACCCCTAATTCATGCCCCAAATTTGCAAGTGAGTTCAATGCTTATTCCTCTTTATTTTGAACAATAAAGTGAATTAACTTGGGTTAATCTAG